ATGCTTGATGCATTATATAGATTTGATTATATTATACTCTCCCACCCGTCATTCTTAATAAACTTTACTATAATTACTCTGGCCAAGTAACTTATTATAATATTATTAAGCACTCACCTGCTCTCCCAAGAACTCATAAAATATGGTAACACTACTAATAATATATAATAATAAAGAGTTTATTTACTTTTAGTATTAATAATTATAGAAAAAAATAAATTAATATAAAATAAAATTTAGTAAAAGCAAAAAAAAATATCTAATATCTGTACCAATTTCTATGAAAATTGTTAAACAATCTCATATATAAAGAAATAAAAAGTTTGAAAAAGATAAAATAACTAAAAAAAAACTATATTGATTAATATAATATTAATTACAGAAATATTATATTTATATCTATTAATATTAAAACAAATTATAATAAAAATACTAAAAATGTAATGTACTTATTTAAAGTTAAGGTATTTAATTATATTAAAATAATATAAATACTAAAAAAATTACTTATTTAATATTACAGTATATAACTAATTAAAATAATATCAAAAATAACAAATCAAATATTAATACTCATAACAAATCAATTATTTTATAAAATATATTCTTGATATAAAAATCATAAACAATTTTAACAAAAATTGAATTAACAAGCTTTAATATTTGATTTCAACTTATTTTAACCAATTATTTTGAATTAGATTCAAGAATAAATACAATCAAATCTCTTTATAGTTATCATTATTAAAAAAGCAAAATTTGGTGATTATAGAAAGAATGTAACTATAGAAAAATTTTTTACTATATTTATATATAAATAAAAAAGCAAAATAAAGTGATTATAGAAGAGTGTGATTATAAATAGATATAATTATAAAGAGATTTAACTATATAATATTCAATATAATAATTAATATTATAAATTAGATTATATTTATTAAAATTAGAGAAATATGAGAGTATATATATTCAAATAATATTCATATTTAGATTAAATTAATCTATATTAAAATTTATTATATATTACAGAATAATAAAAAAGTATTATACCTATACTGAATAAAGATTAAAAAAAATATAAAAGAGTAGAAAAGAGTTAAAAAAGATATTATATAAAATATAAAAAAATTAAAAAGAATATAAAAAGAGATAAAAAAGGATTAAAAGAAATCAAAAAGAATATAAAAAAATATAAAAATAATTATATAATTATTTTTAAATTATTGTTATTTTTCTAATATTTTTGAGATTTTTAATTTTCCTACTATTTTAATATATTCTTTAATTAATAAATTTTTACTAAAATTCATAATAATATTTTATATTATACTTAATTTATAATCAAAATTAATATTAATATTAGAATACTTTATCAAGAAGATATTTTATTAAGAAAATACTAATTGCTAAAAAATATAGTAATATTAAATTGAACTTGAATTAGATTCAAATATATATATAATAATTCAGTTCAAGAAATCAAAATTCAGTTCAAGTTTAGTTCAAATTTTGAATCTGACTTGAATTTAGATAAAAGTTTGATTCCATTCATAAAAATATTAGTTAATATTATTATAATATATTTTATTTCTTATTTTTATTGAATACTTAATTTTATTTAATTTTTATTAATTATTTTATATATTTATATTTTATTTTATTATATTCTTATTGAATATTATATTTATTTTTATATCTAGTTATATTATTAATTAAAAAAGCATGAAACACTAAAAAATTATAAAAGATAAAATAATATGAAAAATTTAATTTATTTATACTAGTTAAAAAAGATATTTTAAATATTTTAGTAATATTTATTTTATATATAAATAATACTTTATTTGATAACAAGCAAAAAATTAATAACTAATAGTAATAATTAATAATTAAATAACTAATAATTATAAGTTATTACAAGTAATTATCTTATAATTCCTCTTTAATTTTTGTTATAAACTTGGAATAATCTAGTAATATTGTTATTTTTGTATTATATACTTGTATAATTTATATGCAGAGTACCAATTGAGCTTTGTTAATGAAATTATCTTAAACTTATCAACTGCATATTATATAATTCTCTTAGTAATAAACTTAACTTGTTCTATAACATTAAAAATTTGAAATACTAGCAGAATTGCAGTAAACTTCAAATCTGGCAATAAGAGATAAAAAATATTCAGTTTAAAGAAATAAAAATATCTCTACATATAGTGAACCAAATTAAATGAATTTGATATCATTAGAAAGATCTAGTTAAGATGTATCTAATAGTATCAAAATCATTGAATTTGATTTACTAGTTACAAAGATAAAAGCATCATACAAAATTATTTAAAATTGTATAAAATTTCTTTATCATTCTGCAAAAAAAATTGATTTTTGCAAATATCTTTGTATCCAATAAACCAAATTAAATGAATTTGATACTATTAGAAAGATCTAATTAAGACGTATTTCTTTAAACTGGATTTTTTTCACATTTCATCACCAAGTTCAAAGTTTATTGCAATTCTGCTAGTATTTCAAATTCCTGATGAATTTTTCTTATAACTGTAAGAAGAAACTTATATAAAGATCTTTTGCTATACAAATATTATTAAAAAAACTGGAATAACAATATTATTAAAAAATTATTATGTAATTCACATTTTAGAAGATCATTTTGGTAATATTGTGAATTAGCTTACATAATGCTTTTTTATGTTATATAGTTTATTTATAGTTATATTTCTTTATACTAAGTTTATTTAATTGCACTTTACCAAGAATAATAATGTGACTATAAATAAATTTGATTGTATTTCTTTTAATTGTCACTGTAGTGACATTTTGAATATTTTCTATTAATAATAATATCTGGTACATACGTATATGAAAATGATTAATAAATAAGACTCGGAAATAGAGTTCTTTATTAGTAACAATAAGGGCTTCTTATAAATTAAAAGTCGAGTTTTGAGTTCTAGTTTGACAATTGGAATCTAATTTATCAAAAGAATACTGTTAATTTATTTTTACACTGTATAATTTTTTGAATAGATAAAAAAAAATTACAACTCAAATCAAAAATACCATACGACGATTACGAACTACTTACTAAACATATACATAAAAAAATTTTCAAGCTTTCACAATTTGGCCTTATTAAGGTTGGATTCAGACTCGGCATATAACTTATCAAGTTCTGCACGGAAATATTGTTTTGCTTGGTATCGTTTGAGTTTTAATCTAAGAAAATCGAGTTTAAAAATAAAATTTATAATTAATAAATACAAACTAACAATATCCAACAGTATATTTTGAGTTTGTTTTTATGATACTTGCGTTGGCGTCAATAAATCATTTTCGATAGAGAATGGAGCAGATATCAGTTTGATCGTTTTCACAAACTCAAACCTGGAAGAAAAAAATAATTTTTGCATTCACAAATTATTTCAAATACAGTATAAATGTTATGTATTAAATTTACTCTTCCTCTTTATATTAAAAATTCAGAAAAACAATATTAATCCACAAAAACTTACCCTCGCAATTTCCCCTGTTTCCCAGCACGATCCATCTCCGCCAAAAACGCTTTTCGTACACGTGGATCATTCGCAAACCTATCAAGTCCGTCAGCATCGCCCAACGAAACATTGTCACCGGTTATTTGATTTGCCCATGGGACGAATGTTTCGGGGTCGGGTACGACAATGGCAACAAGGTAATTGCGTAATGAGTCGCCGTGTACGAAAATTTGTAGTACGTAGGGTGAGTTTAAATAAACGTTTTCTATCTATTAATGATTGGTAATAAATTATTCCATTAATAGTCAGCAAAAAATGTTCTGGACACAATGACACTTGCCTTTTCAGGTGCCACGTATTCCCCTTGAGAGAGTTTAAATATATTTTTCTTTCGATCCACAATGATAAATGCACCTTTTAAAATGTCAATAAACATATTATGCTCTTTAAACAATCCCTATATTCATAATATAATACTAACCTCGTTCATTAACAAACGCAATATCTCCGGTATGCACCCATCTTTCCTCGTCTATCGTGTCTTTGGTTTTCTCTTCATCTCTATAATATCCAACAAAAGTGTTTGACCCACGAATACAGAGCTCGCCACGAGGATATGGTTTGTCGGTCGATAAATAATTCATTTCGGGAACATCCACAAGCTTTAGTTCTATACTGTTAAAACGAATATCATTATTATTTTGACTTGCATTATAATAATACTAACAGTAGATAGTTACTTACGAAGCAACAGGACCACCGACATGACCAGCAATGTTTTCACCTGCTCGTGTTACACAACCGGCTGCTACACCTTCAGTCTGTCCATACCCTTTTTTCAAATATCAAAAATAAACACATAAATAAACAAAAAAAATGAAGATGAAATCTCAATTATAAAAATAATAAAAATATACACCTTCAGCAATATCACAAACAAACACAATTCTCAAAAACTGCAAAACCTCTGGAGCGATCGGTGCCGACCCAGTCAATACAAACCTCACTCGACCACCCAACACTTTTTTTATTTTATTGAAAATAATCGCATCCCATAATGCATGCGTGAATCCTTGCCCGTTTTCGAGTTTCTGTAGTTTTGCTGCAACAGCTCGTCTTGCCAATGCGCCCTTGAGACCAGGCGCTTCGATTGTACTTTGCACGATTTTTGCGTATATACGCGTCAGTAGTCGCGGAACTGAAGGGAATAATGTTGGGCGTAGTATGTTGATGTCTTCGATTAGTCCTAACATGTCGCCACGGAAATAGCCAATACTGGAACCTCTGGCAACTGCCATTTGCTCACATAAGCGTCCCAGAATGTGAGCGAGCTTTCATTTTCACAAAAAGGAAATATAGCTTGAATATTGCTTTCATATGATATTAGTTTAATCGGATTACAACAGATAATGAATTATCCAAAATACCGGTAAATAAGAGATCAAAACCTATGTTTATAGAATAATTAATGAAATAAGTCACGAATAGAAATAATCCCAAAACAATAACAAAGCTCACATCATCCTGATCAGAATCCCAAACCGCCGCACTCCCAGCAATAGCACCAACAAAATTAGCATGCGTCAGCAAAGCGCCTTTCGGCAAATCCGTAGTACCAGACGTATAACAAATACTAGCGATATCCTCTGGTTTAGGTGGGTTATGCGGATACGCATGTTCACTTCCCAGCTCCTCAACCTCGGTAAACGTGTAAAGCATGATGCCTTTTTCCTCGGCCCATGCTTTTAACACGTTCGCCGGTGTGTTTGGCAGAGAAATGTTGTCATCTAATTCGTCCATTGATATTATAACTTTTAGCCCGGGGATTTTTGAGGCTATTTGGAGAACGCCGGGGATGCGGTTGCCGGCGACTACGGCAATCGGTATTTCGGCGTGGTTGATTACGTGTTGGACAGCGTCTATTATATAAATTTATAAATGAGAAAAAACAATTATGCAATAATTTTATTTAAAAAAAGATTCGTTACCTGGTCCTAATGTGTCATAGAGAGCAACACTTCGAAGATTATAGGCCATATTAGCCTTATAATTTTATATTTAATAAAAATTATTTATTATTATTAAGATTAAATTTTTAATACAATCTTGTTAAATTTCTTTTTTTACCTGATCCGTTATAAACCACTCTATTTTTCAAAGAAAGATAATTAGAATTTCTATTTATCGAAATCTCAAAGGAACTACGATAAAATTCATCTCACCAGGTCTATTATTTGAATAAATTCCTACGGCCCATTGCTCAGATTTCGGATTTTTGATCACCTGATTTTTAATTAATCAATAATAATAAATTCATTTTTTACTAATTTTCAAGATAATAATAACTCGCAAAACACTATTAAAAAAGAAAAATATAAAGCAATACGCATACAGTATCACTTAAATATAACATCCCAGATCCCAACTTTGTAGCTCGATCTGCCACCTGTTCGTACGTTTGCCACACATAATTCTCGTACTGCTGCGTTTTTTTGTTGAAGTAGCGGTGTCCGATGCAGTTTCTGGTTCTCGATATTATTAAAGCTGAATAGATATGTATATCATAATTCAATCAAAAAGAGAAAATGCAAGAAATTAGAGTTGAGAATTGTTATTTGTCGGAGAAAGATGCATAGTTTTATTTTTACCATTCTGGAAATTGTCGTACAGTGTTTTGACATTTGGACTAATAATAAAGAGAATTGATCAGTATCGTTATTATAAACCGACTATTAATTTTTACAGAATGGAATTAAGTGAATTTTACCCAAAGCTCGTAAGTAAAGCTTCCGTATACAAAGCATTTCGATAAATTCCTATAATTATGATTATTTCATTCAGTGGACTTCAAGAGATAATACAACTTTTAACAGTCAATCCCACGAACTCTATACCTGTTTGCCCAGGCTTCCGAGTATTCGGAAGCTCCACACTATACTGTTTAGGTGGTGCTGTAGCCATTGGATTATTACAGTATAATTAATATAGTCTTTGTCTTTTTGCAACAAAACAAGTTGTGTACGAGAGAAATACGCGATCAAAATCTCATTCTATTACGCATATGATGCATCAGTATCGGTATCATTCGTAGCCATAATTTGTGTGTGTAACCAAATTTCAAAAAATTTATTTTTGATACACCAATAAAACTACGTAGTCGGCAAAGAATCTTCATCGCAACATAGCGGGCATTAATCTGATTGGATGGCCAAGTGAAATGTTACACATATAATTTTATATATATCGATCCACGAAAATGGATTAAAATATATCTTTTGTTTTATAAATGTTAAAATAATTCAAGAAACAACAAGGTAATTTGGAAATTAGCTAAGCGTTATTACAATAGGCATTTTTAGTACCAAAAATGAATAATACAAAACAAGATGTCTGCACAAGAAATCTATTATGAAGATTAAGTTCTTTATAGTGAGAAAAAAAGAAAAAGAAAGACTTGATACTGTGATTTGGAGAACCAAGAGATTGTTATCTGTAACTATAAACAGCACAGTGCATCTATTGTATTCGAGCAAGTAAAGATCAAGTTTGAGTCAACATCTAGACTTGGTTAACAAGTTTTTGTACTGAAAATATTACAATAAATTAATAGTAAATGCAAAAAAATCTAAAACTAATAGCATCCAAAGTATCAGTTTTATATTTTTACAGCTTGATATAATGCAAAAATGGAGAATATCAAGGATGATTAATTAAATTCTTTGAGTTACAGTCAAATCTTGAATAAAAATAATATTATTTGATTCATCTTGACTAGATGAATTAAATGATAGTATTTTTGTTCAAATTGAATTATTAAATATTGTTGTAATATAAATTTTAACATATCACATGATTTGTTATAATTTATTCTGATTGGATAATTAATTTACAAGTGATTTGTAAATCATATTCATATTTATTTCATATTATCTATATTTTACTCATACTATTTTCTTTTATTTTTAATATATTTCATACTATTTCATTTTTATTTTATTTTATTTTAATTATAATTCATACTAATTATATTTAATTCATATTATTATTATTAATATGAAAAATACATGTTAATTGATCTACATAATCTAATTTGATTAATATTAATAATAAAATATATATAATATTAGAGTAAGTAATATATAATCATCAAGTAAGTGAGCAAGCAAGTACCTTTTGTAATCATAATATCAATTAAAAATAGTTTTAATCTTTGAAAATTGAGTAATAATAATTTATATAAATATAATATGTATCTTAATTTAGAAAAAATAATTTTTTATTAATTTAATTAATCTTTTAATTATAATTTTCTTTTGACAAAATCTTCTTAAAAGTGAATCATATTGTAAATCTTGAATTGAAGATTTTTAATTACTCTTTTTCTTTTTATTTGTATTCTTTTATTTTTAAAGATTTCTTATTTGTAACAAATAATATTATTACAGTTCAGAATTATCACTAATTTCTTAATTCTGATCATGTGATTAAATATAGATTGTAAAGATAGCAAAGTTCACAAACATGTTAATATTATCTGTTATAATATATATCTTATATTATAATAACTTAATCATAAAATATTTTATATAAATAAAGAATCTTTTGGATAAATCAAAAAATATTAATAAAATTGTATATTAAATAATTTTATAATTAATATTATTAAAATACTTATCTTTATTATGTATTACCTAGTGTTCCTATGAACTGAACTGAACTGAACTAGACTTTTGTCTGAGTTCGAGTTCAGTTCGAAATTTGAACCAAACTCAAACCAGACTTTGGCTTGAGTTCAAAAAAGGTTTGAAGTTCAAACTGAATTTGAACTGAACCATTATACAAGTTCAAGTCTGGTTCGAGTTTGATTAAAGATCAGTATATAGTATCATATATCGATTTGTAGCTCTAAATATAAGCTAGAACTTTACCTATAAGCACAATTTATAGTATTTAGTAAGAATTAAAAGTTTATATAGTG